TGCTCCTTGGAATTCTCCAGGGGCGCCCAGTGGCTTGCAGGATGTCCCCTGAACCCCTAGTGCAGCTCATCGCTACTGCAGGGCTCTGTCAGGGGATTTCAGGGCTTAGTGCCCAGGACTCTGCCTGCCTGGGCCATCCTTTATTCAGCACAGCCTCAGGATATGTCTCTGTTGCATTAGAAAATAATGAATAAACGAATGTCTGGAGACATTGAGTAATGTGAATGAGTGAATGAGTAAACGAACGAATGAATAGAATTAGGCAGCTCCAGGTGAGATACAGTGAGGGGAGATAAAGGTGGTGGCTTGGCTGATGGACACACTCAGGGACAGCTCTGGGTGTCAGGGAGGGCCTGGCTTGGGAGAGTCAGAAGGGCTCGGTGTCCAGAAGGGAAGGGGAATGCGGGTGGGTGCCCATGTGCGTGGGAGGCTGGAGCCCTTGCACAGTGGCTTTGGAGACAGTGGTCAAGCAGGAAGGGCATCATGGGGCGGGGGGAGGGGGGGGATGACAGAAGCCAAGATTTAATGTGGGGAGCAAGGCTGCAAGGAGCTCTACCTGAGGATTTCCAGAACCTCACCTACCCCCAAGGTGGCAGAGCAACTCATCAACCCCTTTGGAGAGGATGATGATGACTTCGAGACCAACTGGATTGTCGACAGGAGCTTGCAGGTACGGAGGGAGGGATGGAGCCTGTCCCAAGGACCTCCCCAAACTGGACCCAGGGAGGGGGATCCCACAGTTCTGTAGGGAGGCCTCACAGTGACTTGGGCCCCCTCCACCAACCATTCACTCATAGGATTCTCTCCCCAACTTTTGAGGCTGCAGGTAGGCATCAGTCTCTCCATTTCACAAGTAGGGAAACTGAGGCCCAGAGAGGGGGAATTGACCTCTCCAAGTCGTCTGGCAAGTTCAGTGTCCTCCTTGGGCTGAACTTTCTATTGGACTTCTCCTTCTGTCCCTGGTGACTAGGTGTCCCTGTTGGCCGTGGACGAGATGCACCAGGACCTGCCCCCAATGGAGCGGGACATGTACTGGAACGAGCCAGAACCACATCCCCCCTACACAGCTGCTTCCGCCCAGTCTTGTCGACCCTCCTTTTTTGGCTCCACCTTCAACATCAGGTGGGCAGTGCCAGGAACCACCACTGGAACCAGTGGGTAGAAATCCCCAAGTACAAGGGTCTGCCTAAGAACTTAGGATAGCACTAATTAATAGATATCGGGTGCCTACTGAGTGCTGGGCACTATACTAAGCTCTTGATATATATTGACTGTTTTTTTCCTCCCAATAACCTTGGTTTGTTATCTCCAGTTTACAGATGATTAAATCCAGGCTCAGAGAGATTAAGTTGCCTAGCCCAAGGTCACATAGGTTGTAAGCGGCACACACGGGCCAGGTGTCTCTGATCCCACCTCCACACTCTTACTCCTTACCTTGACCTGCTTAAGCACTCCTACAGGTGGAAGCACTTGTAGGTCCCTCCAGTCTTAGCCCCTCATGTCCAGAGTTGGAAACTAAGGCCCAGAGAGAGAAGGGACTTATTTAAGGGCAGTCAGTGATCAGTGATGCTGGTGGGGTGTCAGGGCCTGATTCCTGACTCTGGTCCGGAACTATGTTTTCTGATAAGCCAGGGTGTTTGGATGGGGAGCAAAGTGGGGTTCCCTGGGATGCGGGAGGGGCGGCAGGCATGTCCCAGCAGGAGGCTGGGTCATCACAGGTACCTTCTGGGTAGACTTTGCGCTACAGAGTAAAGGCCTCAGGTCACCCACAGCAGCCACACTTTCCTCCACATGCGTCCCTGATTCGATCAGAATCCCTTTTGAGCTGACGGGCCGCCCCAGGGAGCCCTCTCTCCCCAGGATGACAGACAGGGCTTTGGAGAGTGTTTGGTGCATGTCAGAGTCCATACCATCAAGGTTTTCTTCCACAGTATTCAGCCCTGTTCTCTTCTTGCTCTTTTAAGGACCAAATATCCTCCTAAGCTGTAATTAGAATTAGCTCAAGTTCGCTAATCAGTGCGAGGAAGGTTTGGAAAAGTGATCAAATGAAGAATGGAGGCTTCCTTAGGTCAGAAACATTTCTGGAGGTTGCTTTTGAGTTCTACATAGTCTGTACTCCAGCAGCTGAAGGTTGGAGCAGGGGAGGGTGAGTAACAGAATAATAACGCACAGACCTTGCCTCCAAGGAACAGACAATTTAGTGAGGGAGCTCAAACCCAAGGCCCAAACTCTGGGTACACAGTACAAGGTATTGGATACCTGGGAAAGGGACAGAACGTAGAAGAGGGATCACCTTTGGCCGCCTGGGAGGTAGCCTCCAACTGGGCCTGCTGCAGGGCCTTGAAGCATGGGGAGAATTTGGACATTGGCAAGGACAGGCCACTCCCGGGTAGCAGACAGCTCACTCACTTGCAGAGTAAAGGCTTGGGCTCCCAGGAAGCCAGATTTCTCTCCTTGGGGATGCTGCTCCCCAGTTGGAACCACAAATCCCTGGCTTGCCCACAGTCACTCCTGGGCCTCATCTGACCATCCATACCTGGGGACCAGTAGTTCAGATTGCCTGGAGTAAGGAGTGTTAAAGGCAAGATGTGGGTGATGAAGAGGAAGCCCTTAAATGCCAGGCTAGGGAGTTTGCCTGTTAACCTGGGCAAGAGGGAGCCACAGAACAGTGAGGTGAGCTGGGCCAGGAGGGATTAATTGGGAGGTACAGGATGGATCAGGAGAGAGGAGAGTGGGGGCATTGTGAGAAGACTGTATGTCCTTGGCGTTGGGCCAGAGGGAGGGAGAGGAGAGGGGGTAAGGGAGAAGTAAGGTCAGGCTTCCTTCCTTGTCCCCCCACTCAACCCTTAGTCTGCTTTTTTCCAGTCTGCATAAGGAAGAGATGGAGTTTCAGCCAAATCAGGAAGAGGAGGAGGAGGGTGCTCACCCTGGCATCATTGGCCGCTTCCTAGGGCTGCAGTCTCATGACCACCATCCCCCCAGGACAAATTCAAAGACCAAACTGCTATGGCCCAAGAAAGAAGTCCTTCTCCATGAGGGCCAGCTCAAGAACCTCGGGGGGGCCAGACAGAACTCTAGGGACCAGGAAGACAGCAAGGCCTGGAAGATTAGAGGGGAGGATGCCTTCAGGTCCGCGGCACTGTATGGGAGGTCAGGCTACCACAGTGCCCCACAGACACCGCTCAGCCACACCCCGATGGTCTTCCCACCTGGACAGTCAGCCCCCTCCAGTCTTTGCAGAGTCTCGGGCATAGACGGCACTGGCAAAGACCAAAGCCTACAGCTTGTGACTCCTGGGACCAAGAAGAGCTTTGAATTGCTCCCAGAGTGTGCTGGGCCCTCCACGGAGCACCCAGAGTTGTGTCACATGAAGAGGAAAACTGTTGAATTTAACCTGACGGACATGTCAGAGGCCCCCGAATGTTATCTCAGAGAACCGCATTTGGAGCAATCGACGAACAACATACACACCATACTCAAAGATCACGGAGACCCCTATTGGGCACTGGAAAACAGGTCTGCCCTCTACAAACCCAGGTCATTGCCCTCCCCAGCTTCCCTTGCTCTGAGCCTACATTTCTTGCACACTTTCCTATGGTTCCATCACTGCCAGAGTATGCTGGACCTATGCCCAGCACTGGCTTGGGGCACATATCTGGCCATCTCAGCAGGGGACTTGGGGAAGTGTTGGGGACTTTAGCTCTTCACCCAAGAGCCTGACATCACCAAGAACACCCTGGAACCCAGGTGAAGGATGATGAGGGTGCACTGACAGGAGTCATGCTGGAGCAAGAGCTACCAGGTCAGGCTTAGGTGGGCAGATATTATCACTGGACTCAGCCTACTTTGAGCAGGGGTGGCAGACACAAACCCGTGGGGCAGAACTGGAGGCTCTAGGCTGTAGCCCCAGAACTCAACTCACTGCCCAAGCTTAGCTAGGAGATCGCGTATGAGCAGTCCCCACGCCTAGAAAGGGTGCCACACGACAGGGAACTAGCAGATGGTGCGGGCCCAGGTCCCTTGGGGGTATCTCACTGCTTTGGGAACCTCACGAAAAGGCTTAACTTAAATGTGCTCCTTATGCTTCCTTGGGGTCAGTCCAAAGCTGTCACAAAACTACCAGATGTTTCTCTCTACTTTCTTTTCTGGATAATCACCCAATTAGATCCACCCTACCCCACCCCCAGTCATGTGGGAGGGAAGTGTAACTTCCTATTTTTAGATTCTCAGTTACTTCTGTGGTCAGAATACACAGCACTGTGATTGAAAACTTATTAAAAGGGCTACAATCTGTCTCACTTCTAAGGCTAGACAAACTTTTACAGATTACCTTGGCTTGTTTAGGAAAGGATGTTCATGTAGTTGTTAGGAAAGACATAGATGGCTCTGCAGTCTCCTAACACCGCTCGCTGGTTTTTAATATTTAAGATGTCTCCATCTTTACCCTTCTACTGCAGCTATTTTAGTACTGAAATAAGGAATTTTCCACCCTCATGTTGTGAACTTTCTCAAATTCTCAACAGGGATGAAGCACACTCCTAAGCCTGTTTCCCATGAGAGATGGACGCTTCACCGGCCTGGTCCTACCTGCATGTACACCAGCAGGACACTGACCCAGTCACAGCCATATAGCTGTCCACACTGAATATGTTCCTATGACAGCCTGAATTCAATGGTTAGCTTAATGGACAACAAAAATCAGTAGTTTCAGGGCTATTTAAGCCTTTAAATGCCTTTTGTACATAAAAATTGTGAAAGTTAGAACGAGCCACTGGAAACATGTAATTCAAAACACCTAATTCAGAATCAGGAGTCCTTAAGACCTGTCTGAATTCAACACACCCAAGCCTTGGTATCTTTCCCAAACTAAGGAGTTTAATAAATGCAAATCCTCCTAGCTGTCTCATTTTCATTAGTGTGACTGAACTATGGCACTTACAGCCTTAGCGAAGATGGCCTAGACACATTTCTAGCCCATGGAAGAACTCAAAGACAACAGCTGGGTACCAAATTACTTTATTTGAAGGAATGGTACAAATCCAAGAACTTAAGTAGATGTTTTGGTACAACTTATAGAAAAGGTCAAGGTAACCCCAACATGCATGTGTTGCCTTGGTGGACCAGGGAAGTCACCCGGTGGCTAGGGGAAGCCAGCCTGAGACTTAGCTCTCATCACTGTCTCCCAGGGTGTGCTTGTCAAAGAGATACTCTGCCAAGCCAGATTCGGGGGCCCCCATCTTGCGCAAGTTGGTTACGTGGTCACCCAATTCTTTGATGGCTTTCACCTGCTCGTTCAGGTAATGAGTCTCAAGGAAGTCACAGAGCTAGAAAACAGAATGGGAAAGAAAGTTATGAGTAAGCTTTCCTGGCTGGGAAATGATCTCCTCCAGTTACTCCCAAGTTGCCAATACTCACGTGGGGGTCATTTTTTTCAGTGGCCAGTTTATGCAGTTCCAGTAGTGACTCATTCACATTTTTTTCCAAGTGTAATGCACACTCCATTGCAGTCAGCCCGTTCTCCCAGTCGTCCCGCTCTGGTTTCTGAAATGAGACATGGTTAGGTCAATGCATCTGCAGTCTCTACCAATTAAATCACGACAAGTCAGCAAGCACCTAACTTGTAACCACTGCACTTCAGCAAAAGGGACATACACATTTCCCCTGATGAGTTTCCAATTGAACATCCTTGCCCATTACTGTTTGCCTACCATAGCTTAGATGGGAGGGCTAAAAAGCACAAAAGACAAAAGCCGAATACATCCTCATTTTGTAAGGGCAACTGAGCCTCTGAGTGATTTCTGCCACCTGAGGACTGCCAAAGAGATTACGAACATGACATCTCTTGGATTTTTTGTTCACCTTGATATCCTGCAGGAAGATTCGGCCACCTCGTTGGTTCTGCAGCTTCATCAGTTTCTCAGCATGTTCCCTCTCCTCATGAGACTGGTGAAGAAAATACTTCGCAAAGTTCTTCAGAGCCACATCATCGCGATCAAAATAGTAAGACTGAAAGGGGAACATGAACATGTTACGTTAGGGCTTCCCAAAGAAAGGCAGTTTGCTAGCCTAGCCTTCCGTTCTCAAAGCCCAGCAAGAAGGGGTCTGTGCCTAAGAGACTAGGGGCAAGAAACAGTAACTAGTTTCTACTCTAAAGTACAAAATTGAAACTTGGTCCTTGAAATTCAAAGTTTACTATAAAGAACCTTTAGGATATCACAGAATTGACTCCAGCGTGGAATGTCTTAAGGATCTGTATTAGTGTCAAGTAAACTTCTTACAGCCCATGTCAAATTTGATTGAAGAGAGGGTTGAAGAAGTGCCTCCTCCCCCTCTTCCTTGATCAACCCATGTTAAAACATGAGCTTGCCAGCTTACAGGATGCTGATGGATTTCTAAAATTAACCCACTAGGCAAGGTGACAATTGTGGGCAATGCTAATGTATGTAAATATATTGCCAGTAGAAAGCAAAAATGATTCAGTTTTAGTCACTTGCTGTAGTCAGGTGTTCCTGGAATGGAATGGCACTTCACAGAAATCCAGGCGTGTTTTCAAATCCATCTGGCACATGTCTATTCTTGGATAATTTGCAGAATCATAAGACAACTCTTAACTAAAACTCCTAAACTCGCCTAAAACCAAGATTTTGGAAAACGAATTCCACTGCTTACTACATGGAAAAATGTCTTGCCCAGTAACTGTTGGTGGACTTTTTCCAAGAACTAAGCTTTAATTAGAGGGCCACAACACTTAGACACAGAAAAGATAAAGAATTAAGAACCCAGGCACACAGACGCGGGACTGAGACAACTGTCGGCAGAAGGGGAGATGTCTAGAGATATGCTTCGATTCCAGTGGGACTTGGAGATAAGCAGAGGGTGGAGACAGCTGCGCGGCAGTGGCGGGCCCACGGGAGATAAGCCACCTAGCACCAGCCCCCAAGGTTGCTATTCGACGCTATTACCCAGCAGGCTCCGCCATACCCGGGGGATGGGAGCTGGACCTCTTCTCCCCCATCACCCAGCAAACGGAGGGCCTCAGGGACACGTGATCGGACGCAGAGGAGGGATGGACATGGAAAAACCCACCTTCCCAACTACAGGATGGAACAAGGGGCAACCCCGGGATGTCAGGAAGCCAGGCTCTCTTTAGATACAGAGGGGTGCGCAGTGGCGACCCCCCCAGGGGGACACTCGGAAAGGGCGAACCGCCCACAATTTCTGTGCAAGCTAAGTCCCGGGAGACCTCGGGCGGCCTCCATCTTCCCGAAGGGCGCGCGGAGGCGGGAGAGCCCGCCCGGTGGCCACACCCCCGCCCCGCCCCCGGGAGCCCGCGCCCGCCCTCACCATCGACAGGTAGACGTAGGAGGCGTAGAGCTCCAGGTTGATCTGGCGGTTGATGGCGGCCTCCGAGTCCTGGTGGTAGTTCTGGCGCACCTGCGAGGGGAACGCGGTCGTCATGGCGGGCGGCTGAAGAGAGGCGGTGGCGGCGGCTGCGCGGCGCTGGAGCGGCGGTGGGGGCCTTGGGGCGGGCCGAGAGCGCTGTGATGGGGTGGCGGAGGGCTGGCTCTGGGCGGCCGGCCGGGGTGGGGACGAGCGCCGGGTTCCGTTCAAGCACTGTTGAAGCAGGAAACCTCGGCAACTCCCACGAAGACTGTGGCGCAGGTCGGCGCCCGCCGCGCTTTTATAGCGGGAGCCGTCGTCAGGCCCGCCCCGGCCAATCACACCGGCCGCCCGCGCGCCGGGCCCCGCCCCTTCCGGGGGCGCGCGGCCCTGCCCCGCCCGGCGGTGGGGGAGGGGAGGCCTGGGGGCGGCGGCGCGTTCCCGAGCGGGGGCCGGGGAAGGCATATCTGAGCTTTGGGGCGCGTTTGGTGCGGTTGGACGGAAGCCTGGGGAGGGGCGGGAAGCCCAGCTCGGAGCCCTGGCTCCAGGCACGTCCTGGGTCGTGGAAGCGACGGGAAACCGTCCCTGATCCCGGGGGCGCGAAGGAGCACCCCGAGACTCTTGGCCAAGGGCGCGTTCCAAATCAGATCAGTTGCCACACCCCGAGGTGACTACCTCGTGATGCAGATGGGGAAACTGGAAGGTGGAGATGTGGGTGCTACGACGCCGAGTCAGTCAGGGCTCACTTTCTCTTCCTCAAAGTCTAGGGAGGAGAAAATTGGGGGGGGGGGCGCCCACTGCCCTCTTGGTGGGCCCCCGCCCCGACTCCGGCCACCCCGGCCGCGTTTGCTGGAAGCAAAGATGGCTCCTTGTGCACTTGATACAACAAAGGCTGGGCGGGCTTTGTTTCCCGAGAGACTGGGGGAGACGCGGAGACCGCCTTCCCGGAGGGGTCGAGAGGGTGAGCCACTGGGGTCCTGAGAAAATCGCCGGTGGCGCTTAAAGCTCAGAGAGAGGTGGGGGTTAGAAAAGAAAGGAGAAGCCACTTGGATCTGAGACAATATCGTGAGGCCATTTTGAAATGGCCTCCCCAGTCACTGGAGCCTGCAGCTGAGGAGGCCCTGCAGGGAGCCACCCCCGAGGGTGATCCTTGGAGAGAAGCCTCGGGCTGAACTCGCGTGCAGGCCCCAGGGACCCTGGAGGGGCAGAGCCACTGCGCGTGGCCTGCAGCTGTGTCCCAGGCACGGAGTGGGTGTGAAATCGTGGGTGGCAGACAGACCTAGGCCCGAGCACCTGCCCTCCCTCCAGTCTGCCGGCTTCAAGGTTCACTCTTCTTAGCCAGGTCCCTCAACACGTGGGTAGGAGACCTACCCAAGTCCCTTTTCGAAATATTCACGAACGTGCAACCGAAAGCTGGACTTCCAAACCTTAAAAAATAAAGGAACTTTACTAAAATATTAAAACAAGTTGTTGATGGAATTGGGGCGATTTCTCTTTGTGGGTTCTTTACTGTATTCGTTTCAAAATGAACGTATGTTACTTTCAGGGCATTAAAAATTTGTTTTTAATTAAAAAAAATTACATAAAAAAATTTATTGGGCTAGAGCTATCATAAAGGAAGTAGAAGGATGCTGGGAGAGTACAGACAACGGATGCCTTACCCAGTCTGGGGTAAGCAGTCAGGGAAGGCTTCCCTAAGAAAGTAACACTTGAGTTAAGTTTGAAGACCAAGTTAAAAGGAAGGTGAAGTGGAGGAGGGAGATGGGAGAGGGAATTCCAAGCTGAGAGAACCGTATTTGCAAAGGTGTAAAGGTGTGGAAAGGTGTGGCCTGTCCAAGGTACATTAATAAAGTGTATTGCCCTGGAAAGTATAGAGTCCATGTTGGAGAAAGCTGGGAGGGTTGTATTGGGTGAGGTCAGGAAGGTTGTGTGCCATAAAAAGGGGTTAAATTTTATCCTGGGCTGTATAGAGACAGTAAGGGATTTCTAGCCAGGGAGATACCACGTTAGTTTTGTTTTTCGAAAACTTACACTGAATCAACAGAAAAACTATTAAGGATAAAGTACAGCAAAGTTGCCAGATGCAAAACTTTCCTTTATAACAGAAACCACCAGTTAGAAAATGTAATGAAAGAAAAAAATGGTTTTTTCATTTATCTTGGCAACAAAAGTTTGAAGTACCTGGGAATAAAGCTAACAAGAAATATATGAAGAAAGCTATGAAAGTTTACTGCAGGACAGAAAAGAAAACTTGTATAAATGAAGAAATACCATGTTTCTAGATAGCCAACTTTAGTTTTGTAAAGATGTTAATTCTTCCCAAATAAACCTATAAATTCAATGCAACTTCTGTAAAACGTGTGGTGTTTTTGGAAATTGACAAAATGATTCTAAAGTTCATTTGGAAGAGTAAGTGTGTAGAATAGCTGATAAGCATTTGGGGGAAAAATGGGTTACGAGGGTAAATTTGCCCTCTCTGATATAAAAAAAAAAAAAGTTCAAGCCAGCCCTGATAGCCTAGTGGTTAAAGTTTGGCGCCATCCCCAGGCACGGAACCATACCACTCATCTGTCAGTAGCCATGCTGTGGCGGCTCACACAGAAGAACCAGAAGAACTTACAACTATACACAACTATGTACTGGGGCTTTGCGGGGGAAACAGGAAGAAAAAAGGAGGAAGATTGGCAACAGATGTTAGCTTAGGGTGAATCTTCCCCTGCAAAAAAAAAAAAGAGAGTGCTGTAAAGTACTTACTATAAGCAGTTGGTACTGGCACAGGAATTGATGACTAGAACAATGGACTAAACAGTCCTACCCACATATGTATGGGAATTTGGTAGATGCTCAAGTGGCATTTGAAATTAGGAGAAAAAAAATGGGTTCAACAAATGATATTGAAACAATTGATAGTCATGTGGAAGAAAGTGACTCACTCTATATTTCAAAATACATTCCAAAGGGATTAAAGATCTTAAAAAACGAAAACAAAAACCTATGAAGTTACTAGAAGAATATACAGAAGATTGTCTTTTAGAATTTTGGAGCAGGGAGTGTTCTTCTGAGGCGGTCGAAAGCCATAAAGGTACAGTTGGCAGATTTTTTTTTTTTCCCCCAAAGCCCCAGTTGATAGTTGTATGTCATAGCTGCACAGCCTTCTAGTTGCTGTATGTGGGACGCAGCCTCAGCATGGCCGGAGAAGGGGTGTGTCCGTGCACGCCGGGGATCGGGATCCAGGCTGGGCTGCCAGTAGCGGAGCTTGTGCACTTAACCGCTAAGCCATGGGGCCGGCCCCAGTTGGCAGATTTGACTGTAGTTGGCCCTGTGGATCTGTGGGTTCTGCATCTGCTGATTCAACCAACCTCAGATCAAAAGGCCTATAATGGTTGCGTTTGTACTGAACATGTACAGACGTTTTTTCTTGTCATTATTCCGTAAACAATACAGTATAACAACTATTTACATAGCATTTACATTGTCTTAGGTGTTATAAGTAATCTAGAGATGATTTAAAGGATACGGGAGGATGTGCGTAGGTTAGTTACATGCAAACACCATTTTATATAAGGGACCTGAGCATCTGTGGATTTTGGTATGTGCAGGGGTCCTGGATATGAGCGATGACTGTACCTAAAAATGAAAAGCTGGGAGCCTGAGGGGTTCGAGACGTGGAGGGCGGGAGCTGGAGGGGAACCCCGGCCTCCACAGAGAGCATGGCAGAGGAAGAAGGACCAACTATTTTCTTTTGCCAAAGAAAAAAGCCACAGTCTTCAGAAAATAAAGAATTTGCCGAAGAAGAGAAAATCAACGACTTGCTAGTTCCTGAAAGAGCTCCAAAACGTAACAAGATTGCAAAAAAGAATGTTACTAGAGAGCCTTAGTGATCAGCTGCATTTGATCACAGTACAGGGATGAATTTAGACCAGAAGTGGTCTAAACAGAGAATCCAAAATTTCTGGGACTTGTAGTGTTGAAGTTAGAACTGTTCGTCTTTTTCAACCAGTAAAAAGTAAAACCGAGAAGTACTTTTGAGTAACAAAGGCCGATTAAGATGAATCCTCAGGACAATGACCAGATCGGGGGCTTGGCTGTCGCATGGTTGGTTAAAATGTGTGAATGGATAAGGTAGTTCCTAGTAAGTCCTTTCAGTTGGGCAAAGCTCTCAGGGAACAAGAACAAAGGGTGTGGTCCCACAAAAGCTTGATAAATTCAAAACACAGTTCAATCTTTGAGAGAGGCATATTTACAAAAAAAATTGTGGGTGTGGTTATTGGAATATGGAGCTGGCTGGACTCAAGTAGGTAAAAAGCCAACAAAATTCTTCTTTTCTTTGCAAATATGAGTGCTTTAATTTTAAAAAATTAAGATATAATTTACATACAATAAAATGCATAGAATCTTAGGTGTTTAATTAAATGAGTTTTGGCACTGGAATACAGCTGAAACAAGATATGGAACATTTCCATTATCCTAGAAAGTTCCTTTATATCTCTTTCTAGTAGATTCCCCCCATAGCCCCCAAGATGACCACTCTTCTATTTTTCAATATTGAGTAATTAACTTTTCATGTTCTAGAATTTCATATAAATGAAATCATACAACAACAAGAAAACCCAGAAAAGCTATAAGACAAAAGATGCTATGAACAAAGTTAAAATGCAAATGATGGGGGGTCAGCCCAGTGGCATAGCAGTTAAGTTGGCGCCTTCCAATTGGGTTGGTGGCCTGGGGTTCACCGGTTCAGATCCTGGGCGTGGACCTACTCACCGCTCATCAAGCCATGCTGAGGTGGCGTCCCATATGGAAGAGCTACAACTCTACAACTATGATATACAACTATGTACTGGGGCTTTGGGGAGAAAAAAGAAAAAGAGGAAGATTGGCAACAGATGCTAGCACAGGGCCAATCTTCCTCAAAAAAAAAAAAGTTACACGTGGCTTGGAGTGATGTCGGGGCTAGCTGGTGGGGGTTCCTGGAGCTCCTGTTTGATAACATCATTCTTGGTTTAAAAAAAATTACAAATGACAAATTGAGTTGATATTTGTAGGTCGTTAAGTAATGAAGATTAATAACCATACTATATAATATATATTATATGTATAATTATATATTATATAGATACAAATCACTTTCTGATTGTCTTCCCTGCTACTGTATACTGTAAGCTCCTGGCAGGCTGGCATTATTTCTGTCTTTATCATCCTGCACTTCCGGCCTTTTGCAGGATGCCTGTTGTTGGTGCTCTGTATTTGTTGAGCGAACAGATGGATGCATGATTGAATGTGGAGGATGAATTAGGCAGGCAAGATAAGATGGTTGGGTACTGGTTGGGAGGCAACAGGCCTAGTTCTCAGAAAGCAGATTTGAGAAATATAGAGAAGACAGAACAGACAGGATGAGGAGGCTGGTTGGATAACGATGGAGGTGGAGGTGAGGGGTGGGAGGTGGGCAAGGGAGCCCCCCAGCTTTTTGGCCAGGGCAGCTGGGTTGCTGCTGCCATTCACTGAGAACGAGAGCACAGAGGAAATGGAGTTTGGGGGAATGGCTGTTGGGGAAGGCCAGCTTGCTTTGGACTGAATGTGCTGTTTCGAGGCCTCCAGGACACCCAGTTGGACCCACCTGGAAGGAAGTCAGTCTGTTGCAGAAAGTAGGTTTCATGAGTCAATATTGGCTCCGTGCTTGGTTAAACAGATACGCAGCTGCAGAGACCAACAGGGCAAAACTGAGGGACAGCTTGGGCTGTGGAAGTTCACGGGGGGGAGGCCGGCTGGGAAGAATGAAAGAGAAATCTTGTGCTGGTGTCTGTGTGTGTGTGTGTGTGTGTGTGTGTGTATCTCTGTTTGCTTGGGACCGTTCCCCACCTGGGAACCCAGGGTATCAGAACTGCCATCTCCAAGCCTCTAGATTCTTCTCGAAGCCCGTGACCTGATCTTTGGACCTTTGTTAACCACAATTCGACCTCCCTCCCCTCCAACCCCAGCTCCTCCTCGTGACTTTGAGGAGGCAGGGAGTTTGGCTGGCTTCCTGGGACAGCCACCTCGGTGGGTGGTGGGAGGAGCTGCAGGCAAGAGAAGAGCCAGGCCGGATGTTCCTGACTGGCTTATCCCGGAGCTGGAGGGGGCAGAGGTGGGGTTGTGGGGAGAGCTGCTGGCCCACCATGACTCAGCACTCTGCTGGTCTGGAGGGGTTGGGCTTGGGCTCCAAAAGTGCTGTGTCATCGAGGCAAGGGGAAGGCTGGAAGGCTTGGAGAGCTGTGCTTTCACTATAAGGTGAGGGAGGAAGAGAGCCCCCTTTTCCTAAAGTGGCTGGCCATCTGGGTTGGACCAAGAACAAAGGGATCTACATCACCCAGCCAGGCCAGACTGTGTTTTTGCTGGAAAGGGGGGTGTCACTCTTTCCCCTGTCTCTTCCTGAGTGCCTTCCTGCCTCATAGTGAGTTCTCAACAGATGTTGAGTCTCTCTTTCCCTTCTAGAAATTGTAACTGTATGGTTACAATTTAGGATTCCACAGCTGGGAAATCACAGACTCTCGGATTGTGAAGGCTTCGAAAAGACTTTAGAGTTTTCAAATCACCGTGTTGTACAGATAAAGAGGTGAGATGCCCACAGAAGGCCAGCGCTTGCCCAAGGCCATAGTCACAAACTGAAAATGCAGGACAGGGCACATGAGAGTATACGGTGTGGTCGTTAAAAATGATGAATTTGTTGCTGGAATATGTATATGAAATGACGTTATGTGAAAAAGCAGAGGCCAAAATAGTTCACACAAAGCTGATTACAATGCAGAAATATCCCAGGGCTGGAAATACAGATGAGGATGGGGAGAGAACGGGTCTAGTGATGTTTTAACCAAACAGCTGATGTTTTAAATGTCTGGGATTACCCCTGAGGTTCAGTAAAGAGAACTGTGCAGGAAATTGGAGTTCAGAAACTTAGGAATTGGAAAAAACAATGCTGAATCAGATTTGGGGACATTTCTGGATGATGCAACTATGATTCAGAGACCTCATCTTTAAGCCGTTTCTTGAAAACCCACGAGGCAACGTAGACTCAAAGCCTAGATGCTCAGGATCCCTCTTTTCCAGAAGGTTAAGGTAAAGCCAGGCCCTGGGATGTTAGAGGATAATTGAGAATGGAAATCCCATTTCTTTCAGGCAACTGAGACCTTACAGCTGTGCAAGATGACATGAGTGGAGCCATATTAAAATAGAGCCAGAGCAGCCATTTCAGAGGATTTGCCTGCTTGTCTTGTTTTCTTTGTCTTCCAAACCGCACCAAACTGCCCATTTTCCAAGAAGTCAGTAAGGACAAGAATATTCTGTCTGTATGCAGCTGGACTTTGCTGATGACCAAATTGCTAACCAATTAACAAAGTACAAGTCTAGCCTTTTGCCTGACGATCGAACCTCAGGCCAATCTATGAAGTACAAACCTAGTCTGACTTCACCTAGCACCAATGAACTCTTCTTTAATACAACTCACCTCATCCTCCCTTTTTCCCATAAAAACACTAAGCTCCTCTCCTATAATCGGAACACTATTTGGGTTTCTACCTGAATCTGTGCTCCCCAGATTGTAATTCTTTGATCCGAAATAAACGCTTTGCCTCTTAAACTGGTTCCTGTTTTTGTAGGTTGACACAGCCTCTGTGAGAGTTCCTGCTGGGAGAGCCCTGGACACCACGCCTCTGCCAGAGTGCTTGTCCCAGTGGCCCTGGCTGGTGTTTGCTTGTCTGCCGTCCCATGGACCTTGAGCTCTGTTTTGTGCTGTGCTGCTGGACCCCAGCACGGCCTGGGGGCCTTTCCAGTTCTAGCAGTTTGCAGCCCTAGAGCTCTCCTCTGGGATCATCATGCCCAGTGGAAGATCTGATTTCTACCTTCAGACTGTAGGCCCCTGGAGGTCCAGGATCTTGCCTTTGAAGGTCTCCTGCTGTGTCCTTCCAAATGACACCCTGGGTATCTGCCCACATTCTAGATGCTTCGAAGAGGCCACCTGGCCTCTCTGAACTTTGATTCCTGTATTTATTTACAGTATCTGGAGCCAGCCCTCCCCCATGCTACCCTGGGTGCGCCCTCACTTTCCATCGCCACAATTCATGTTGTACCCCGTGACCTGGTAGCCAGCCACTTGGCATGCCCGCGTTGCCCAGTCCGGGCTCCGCCATGCCCATCCGGGCCAAATCGGGAGATGCCAGGCTCAGCAAAGGTGGCAGGTGTGTAGCAACAGCCAGCAGCCTCAGAAAGAGGGAAAGAGAAGGGCGATGCTCTCGCTGTGGCAGGGGCTGGCAGCCAGGGACTGGGAGTGCGTCCTCATGGAAGTGGAGACTGTGTCTGCCTTGGCCTTCCATGGTGTGGACACTCACTTTCCCTACACCTGGGGGAGGCGGCATAAGCCCAGTCCCTTGTCTGCTGGTGACAGCTGAGGAATTGAGCGAGAAGCTGGAGCTTCAGGCTGCACAGAATCCGGGGATGGGGATCCCAGCCTCCTTTGTAGGGGGTGGGGAGTAGTGGACAAGACAAACAAGCTCATTAGGAATCGGAGAGGTTGGCAGCCCAGGAGGCCGGAATAAAGGGCAGCCTAGGGCTGACCAAGCTGGGAGGCAGCAGAATGAGGCGGCCGGAATGAGCAGCCATGTGACTTTCCTGCCCCCAGTGAAGGTCATCAGGGTGCAGTCTGGGCAAGCTAGTTTGGCTGGCTGGGTCAGCAGAGGGGGCCCAGTGGCCAGCAGAGGGGAGTCCTGAGTGTCCCATGAGAGGGTCAGGACCCAAAAGGCCTCACTGTTAGGATGGGAGAGGCCCCCATCAACCCGTGGCTGCTACCAGCATCCCAGGCTCTTTATTTCCTGCCCCCAATGCCACCTGCAGCCCCGCCCTCTCTAACTGCCTCTTTTCAGCCTGTCCCAACTTTATGAAATGCCAAGGTGAGCACTTCACTCCTCCCCCTAAATCTCCCCAAGGGCTCTCCACGTGGAGAAAAGATAAGGGCTTTTATCTCCATGGGGTAAAAGCATAACTGGTCTATGTGGCCTGGGCCCTGCCCATTTGACTGCCACTCTCCTCTGGGCCTCCTCTCCAACCATTCCCCACAGCCCCACAGCTGTCCCCTCACACCTCGGGGATTTGGCACAGCTGCCACCTCTGCCTGGACTGCCCTCCCTGACTTTTCTGCCTGAGAAACGATCCAGCCTTCAACACCCAGCTCACTATCCTCTGTGAGGCTTCCCTCACTACCCGGGCAGGTTGAACATTTCCTTTCATTTTTCTTTTTTTTTTAAAAGTGTATGTTAATTATCTTTTTTCAAAAATTATTTTATCGAGGTCATATTGGCTTATAATATTGTGTCAGTTTCAGGTGTACATTATTATGTATCAGTTTCTATATAGATTGCATCCCTTTGCTGTGCCCTCCAGTGCTCTGAACATTTCTCCATGGCCACAGCACACTGCAGTGGCCTGTTGGGTACCCGCTTCCCGCACTGGATGGCGAGCTCCTCCCCTATTCATCTTGGAAACACCCCTCCCTTCCTCACCTCGGTACCTGGCAAAGTCCAGGCTCATGGACTATCATGAACTATGTGTTGGATTTCATTTAAGAGCCTAGCTCTTTGTCACCTTTTGTGTTATTGAGGGATGCCTTATAGGTTTGCTTTTTCCATCTTTACTTAAGTAAGACCAGCTCTTTCTACCTTGCTCATGGAAGATGCAGAGAATAAGTGGGCCTCTCTGGGGTCTGGGGATTTTTTCCCCTGCAGAGACCTGAGAACACTACAAGGCAGTTGGGTCAGTGACCACTTGGGCCAGGGGACAGTCACGCCATGGTCATGGGCTCCCTGTTCTGAGGACTGGTTCCCTTTGCCTGCTTCTGCGGCCACAGAGTGTTTCTTCAACTGGAGGAATTCATGGGAGGTCACAAGGGGCCAGGGAGGAAGTGTAGAAGGATTGATTCTTTCTACTAGAAAACATGCCACCTGCTTCTTGGAGATGGGACTAGAACATTCTTAAAGTCGTATCATCCCATGAATAAAACATGCCAGAGAGTTTACACAAGGTAAGTTGACACCTTATTGTGGCTGAAACCAACAACACCTCTAAGGAGGAGGTAGGGCAGGTAGCCGTGCTATAAGCAGAGGAGGAAACTGAAGGTCAGAGAGGTCCAATGACTGCCTCACCTAACGTGGAACAGCTGGTGAGAGACAGGGCTGTGACTGGAACCCGGAGTCTAATTGTGGGATAACTTCCCAAATCTGGGGCCCTAATGCACCCACTGCAATTCTGAAAATCAGATAGTACATGACCCTTGGCCATAAGGTGTAGAGGAAGAAGATCCTTGAGATTCCGGTTGCCTGGAGACTGAAATATTCTTATAGGTGGAGAGCAGTTTCCGCAGCCCCAAATCCAGGCAGAGGCCGGCCTGCACCCGCCTCTGACCAGCTTCAAGGCAGCCAGGTTGGCAGCGGGCACTTTCAAAGCGGCTGCTGTTCCACCAGCAGCAAAGCTGGAAAGGGTGATTTTCAAAATCAACAGGTTGATGTGGTTAGTGACCAGAGTCCGTTTGCTTGGTGGGCGTTTTGTGTTTCTTTAGAAGGCGCTGTTGGGGATCCCGTGACAAGGCTCAGACCGTGGACTTGGTTTTGAGTTATCTCCTGTGCTTGGTGCTCGTGGCTGGCGGGTCTAGGAGGTGACCGGGAGGCCGGCCGACCCTTGGCTCTTTGGTAGCATTCCTGAGCAGGGCAGCTGGATCCAGGCCCACCCCTGAGACCTGAGAGTACTTCTAGAACATACTATTAATAGGGACCGAGGCTGGCTCCTCAGACCCACGGTGCTCGCTGTGGGCCTGGAGGCCTCTTCTTAGCCACAGGGGGACACACCAGTATTGGGAGCTGTGGGTAATGCCTCCTCCAAGGGCTCACAGCCTCTCATTCTCCTGTGGGATCTGAGCACCACGCAGACTTTCCCCAAAGCCTCTGGGTCCCTGGAGCTGAAGCTGACCACACATTGGGGCACATAGGATGACCAACATCCCAACTGGGGCAGTGCCAGCTCCTCAGCATGGCCTCTGCCCACCCTTAGCTTTCTTGGTGGTAGACTTGCCCACCTTTCTTTTTTTTATTTTTATTTTTTTGTGAGAAGATCAGCCCTGAGCTAACATCTGCCAATCCTCCTCTTTTTGTGGTGGAAGACTGGCCCTGGGCTAACATCCATGCCCATCTTCCTCTACTTTATATGGGATGCCGCCACAGCATGGCTTGCCAAGCAGCGCGCCGGTGCGCGCCAGGGATCCGAACTGGCGAACCCCGGGCTGCCACAGCAGAGCGCGCGCACTTAACCACTTGCACCACCGGGCCGGCCCCCTTGCCCACCTTTCTGACAGAGCTTGTGGTCCGGAACAGATGCTTAAAAGAAGCCTGTCTTCCTGACTCAGACCTAGGAGAGCCTTCCCACGGGAAGGGGGCCG